TCTTGGTTACTTAAGCAGTGTCAGATTTGGATTTATTTTCATGGCCTTAGATAAAATCAGACTTTAATTGGCTACCCCCACAAGTTCTGGCCACTATTAGCCCTAGCATATGTTTTCAGGCAGAAGAGCTTAGGTCAAAGATCTTGTGGCTGAGTTGGTGTCCACATTCTCCTTTTGCTAGCCTGCAGAGGACCTTCCTGCACCAAAGAAACTAGAATGTAGGGGTGAGGGCTCCATGCAGGTACCAGCTCGACTTCTCCATGTTCAGTGAGTTGTGCAAGTGTTGTCTGTGACAATGGGGTCCCTCTGTCAGTTTTTGGAGAGCAAGCCTCTGTATGGGGATTTCTGTGGGACCCCCTTGGCCAACAACTCAATTGTATGTACCCTATCCTACTACTGGAAGCCTTACCGGGCTACAAGAGATGACCAGTTGAGTCTCTGAATTCCCCATTAATGGGAGTTATCATTAGGATCACCTTTATAGACTCCAGGAAGTTTCCACTGTACTAGGATTCTATCCCCCCAAATACCACCACCAATTGCAGCTATCTCTACCCACACTCTCTTACTCTCCCATATCCCCCATACCTGGATCCCCTCATATCCCTACCTGCCCCCAGTCTGACCAAAAAATTATTCTACTTCCCCTTTCCAAGGAGATCCCTGTACCCTTCCTAGATCCATCCTCTTTGCTCAACCTCTCTGGGTCTACAGACTGTAGCTTGGTTATCATTTACTTAACAGCTAATATTTCCTTATAAATGAATACACACAACGTTTATCTTTCTGAGTCTGGGTTATCTCACTCAGGATGATTTTTTTTTATAGTTCCATCCATGTAATTTTTTTTAACAGCTGGGTAATACTCCATTGTGTAAATGTACCACGTTTTCTTTATCCATTCTTCAGTTGAGGGGCATCTAGGTTGTTTCCAGTTTCTGACTATTATGGATAAATCTTCAATGAACATGGTTGAGCAAATGTCCTTTTTGTATAGTGGGGCATCCTTTGTGTATATGCCCTAGAGTGGTATAGCTGGATCTTGAGGTAGATCAGTTCTTAACTTCCTGAGAAACCACCATATTGATTTCCAAAGTGACTGTACAAGTTTGTGCTCCCACCAGCAATGGAGTTATCGTTAGGATTACCTTTATAGACTCCAGGAAGTTTCCACTGTACTAGGAGTGGGAACACTAGAGTGTTCCCCTTGCTCTACATCCTCTCCAGCATGAGCTGTCACTTGTGTTATTAATCTTAGCCATTCTGACAGGTGTAAGATGGAATCTCCAAGTAGTTTTGATTTGTTTTTCCCTGATGACTAAGGATGTTGAACATTTCTTTAAGTGTTTCTCAGCCATTTAAGATTTCTCTATTGAGAATTTTCTGTTTAGATCTGTTCCCCATTTTTAAACTGAATTACTTGTTTTTATTTTTGATATCTAGTGTCTTGAGTTCCTTATATATTTTGGATATTAGTCCTCTATCAGAGGTGGGGTTGGTGAAAATCTTTTCCCATTTTGTAGGCTGCTGCTTAGTCAGATTCACAATGTCCTTTGCCTTACAGAAGCTTTTCAGTTTTATGAAGTTCTCTGTCTCTGTCTGTCTGTCTGTCTCTGTGTCTGTCTGTCTGTCTCTCCCCCTCCCTCCTTCTCCCTCTCTCTCTCTCTCTCTCTCTCTCTCTCTCTCTTTTTTTTTTTGAGACAGGGTTTCTCTGTGTAGCCCTAGCTCTCCTGGAACTCACTCCGTAGACCAGGCTGGCTTCAAACTCAGAGATCCATCTGCCTCTGTCCCTGGAGTACTGGGATTAAAAGTGTGAACCACCATGCCCAGCTAAGGTCCTATTTGTTAATTGTTGATCTTGGTGGTTTAGCTGTCAATGTCCTGTTAAGAAAGTTGTCTCTTGTGTCAATTCATTCAAGGCTGTTCCCCACTTTCTCTTCTATCAGGTTCAATGATTCTGGTTTTATGTTGAGGTGTTTTGTGCAAGATGATAAATATGGGTCTATTTGCATTCTTCTACATGCAGACATCCAACCCAATAGGAGGAAAAGAGTCCCAAGAGTAGGCAAAAGAGTCAAAGATACACCCGCTCCCTCTGTAAGGAGTTCCACAAAACACCAAACTGACAACCATAACACACAGAGCAACTGGTGCTGATCCATGCAGACCCCATGCTTCCTGCTTCAGTCTCTGTGAACCTGTACGAGCTCTGCTTAGTTGATTCTCCTGGTGTCCTCCATCCCCTCTGACTCCTAGAACCTTTCTTCCCTCTCTATGGGGGTCCCCAATCTCTGAGGGGAGGGTTTGAAGGAGACCTCCAATTTAGATTCTCTCTCCATGTGATGTCTGGTTGTGGGTCTCTGCACCTGCACCCATCTGCTGCCATAGGAAGCCTCTCTGATGATGACTGCATGTGATACCAATCTGAGTATAGCGGAGTATCATTAGGAATAATTTCATGGATTTTTTTTTTTTACCAGTTGTCTTTGGTTCTACCCTAGGTCTCTGGGCTGTATGTCTCTAGATTCTGGCCATATAGGCAGAGTAGGGCATTGGCTCTCTCTCATGATGTAGGCTCCAAGTTAAACCAAATGTTGGTTGGTCACTCCCACAAATTCTGTGCCACCAGTGCCCCAGCACATCTTGCAGGCAGGACAGATTGTAGATTGGGGGTTTTGTGGCTGGGTTGGTGTCCAGGTCTCTCTTTCCAAAGCCTGCAGAGTAACTTCTCATGCCAAAGAGACAAGAATGTAGGGGTGAAGGCCTCATGCCGGCACCAGCTTGACCTCTCTATGTTCAATGAGCTGTGTGGATATTGTCCTTGGCAGTGGGGCCCCTCTGTCAGTTTTCAGAGAGTGACCTTCTGTCCTAGTGTCAGTCCGGGTTGTTTAGGGATCTCCACGGGACCCCCTCAGCCAACAACTTAACTGAATGCAACCCAGTCCTGGCACTGGAAGCCTTACCTGGCTACAAAAGATGGACAGTTCAGATTCTGTATCTTCTATTACTAGGAGTCCTCAGTAGGGTCATCCTCATAGATCACAGAAAGTTTCTATTGCATTAGGTTCCACACTCCCAGTGCCCCCCAGTTCCAGCTGTCTCTTCCTGCACTCTCTCCCCACACCCCCACCTGATTCCTCCCATTCCAGTCAGCCTGCAGAATTTGCTCTATTTCCTCCTCCTAGGAAGGTCCACTGGTTTTCCCTAGAGCAGTCCTAACCTCTTGGGTCTACAGATTGTAACTTGATTATCATATACTTAACAGATAATATCCATTTAAAGTTAATAGATACCATATTTATCTTTGTGGGTCTGGGTTGCCACACTCAGGATGATTTTTCTAGTTCTATCTGTCTGCCAATTTCATGACTTGGTATTTCTCTCTTGCTACTTTGAAGACTCTCTGTTGTGTACTTTTGTGTTTTAGTTATAATATGAGGTTCTCCTGCTCCTCTTTGTTTCGTGTCTGAATGCCCCTAGGTCTGGTTTTGGTATTTCTTTTCCCAACTTGTGGAAACTTTCTCTTGTGATTATCTAAAAACCATTTCTATGCCTTGAGAATAGTGTTCTCCTGTGCACAGAACTCACAGGTTCAGTCTCTTAATAACGCTGTCAGAATCCTGGAATTCTTATACCTTCTTAGTGTTTTCCCTTTGTCCTTGTTAGGTTGCTCCAGTTACTTCATTTCGTCTTCAGACACAGATATTCTGTCTTCTCTTTGATCCATTCTGTTGTGAGACTTTCTACAGAACATTTTATATGACTCCATTTTTCATTGTTAGCATTTCAGATTAGCTCTTCTCTAGTATTTTCATCCGTTTATTAAATTCCTCTTTCACATCCTGCACAGCTTCCTTATTCCACTCAGCTGTTGGCATTTTTTGATGTTTTTTCCTTCTTTGGTTTCTCTGGATATATATTTTTTTCTGTTGGACAGACAGGGTTGATTTGTCCTACCTCTGAGTTGTCACTGAGGGAGGCAAGGCAGAGACCCGAGGGCACAGACTGAAGCAGAGGTGACAGAGGAATGTTGTGCATAGGTTTCACTCCCTGGCTCATCTCTTTGAATGTTCTTATAATTGTTCTTTTGAGTTCTCTGTCTGAGATTTCATCTCATTGCTCTCATTAGATGACCACAGATGAGGGATTTTTGGAGGAGCTATGTTGCCTTGGTTTTCTGTGTTTCCTATGTTACAGATTTGGGGTTTACACATCTGAGGTGTTTGGTTGCTTGTGGATTTTTAAAAGATCTATATTCTTTTATTTGAAATATTTGTAATGTTCAAGTGGGACATGGTCGTGGTAGAGTTGAGGTGCACAGTTCACAGAACAGGTCCTTAGTCCAGGAGTTCAAGGTGCCTGAACTCTATCTTGGAAGAATGTTAATTGTAGTTGCTGGATGTTCTCACTATGCAGACTGTGTAGTAGTCAATTAACAACAGTGGCCACTGTGACTTCAATTACTGTTGGAGGGAACAACCAAGGATAGTATGGGATATGCTCAGATTTCAGTTAATAAAAAAAAAAAATAGAAATTTGAAATGAGTGAGAATAAGGATAAGTATTAGACTGACTTTGAAAAGTTATAGAAATAGGGTGTGTAAAATATCTGGGAGGGAAAAGTTGAGAATTTAGAGATGGTTAAAGCTACGGAAAGTTGTAATTAAGAAGTGAAGAGGGGAAGGGACAGGATGACAGAAAGAAGGAAAGACGTGGGGATCCTAGGGAACCTATGCAGGTGGAAGACATGGTGAAGGATGCATTAGACTAGAGCAGGTGTGTGGGTAGAAGGTATGGTAAATAATGCATTAGACCAGAGCGGTGGAAAACACTCACCGCAACACTAAAAACTAAGTGAGCAATACACAAGCAGAGCTCAAGTGGAGAGTAACTAACAGGAAAGGTCCCATGACAACTCTAATGTCTCAGGCTGTTTCCAAGGCTACTGGTTGCTCTCCACAAACTGATAGTAAGGCCCCACTGATGAAGACAGCGCTTACGACTCTCACTGAACGTAGAGAAGCTGAGCTGGTGCCTACCTAGAGCCTTCACCTCTACCGACCCGTGTTCACAGTACTGGAAGGTGCTCTGCATGCTCCTGGAGGAAAAAGATCAACACAAACCCAGTTACAAACCCCGAGGTCTACAACAGTGGCCTGCCGGCATGACACACTGCTGGAACAGTGGCACAAAGACTACGGGTGTAAGTAGCCACTCTCTGACTGGATTTAAGGCCCACGCCATGAAATGGAACCCATGCCTGACACTGCTTGGATGGCTAAGAACCTGAGCAGATAGGCCATGGACCTAGGAGAAAACTAAATACTATTGTTCTGCTTAAAGGAACTCAGCAATAAATTAACTCCTGACATTCTGCTCTACCCATTGTCAGAGAAGCTTCCTATTGCAGCAGATAGGAACTAAAACAGACACACAACTGGACAGTGTGCAGAGAGTGAGAGCTTTTTGAACACTCAGTCATAAAGGGGAAGTCCTCGTCCAATGCCTCCTCTCAGAGATTGAGGAGCTAGGCAGAAGCGGAGGCAGAAAGTTCGTAAGAGCCAGAGGAAATGGAGGACTCCCCTGAAACAGTGTCTTCTAGACACAACAGGACTGATGCACATGTAGACTCACCAGTCCTGGCAGCGTGCACAGGGCCTGTGAATGCTTACGCCACATGGGGTCCTAGCACCTAGATGGGGTGGGCCGGGGGATGGCTCCTAACCAAGAAGCTATCTGCAACTGACACTTGCAAAGGAAAAATTAATTCTCTCCAATGGAGTCTCACTGGGTATATTAACCCATATAAGGGTAGGCTGGGCCCTCCAGTAGATGGCCAACACAAAACAAACTCAATCGTATTTTTGCAGACTTTTGCCTGGTATTGCTTTGTTTGGACTTTTTTTTTTGTCTTACTGGCCTTTTGCTGGTATATTATGGTTTCAAATATTGTGTGTTTTTAATGGATTTTAATGGCTATGTGTGTGTGTTTCTTGTGCTTTTTCTTTTTATTATGGTTTGTTTGTTTTGTTGTTTGCCTGTGTGTGTGTGTGTGTGTGTGTGTGTGTGTGTGTGTAAGGGGGGGGGAAGAAAGAGAAAGGTGTGGAGTTGGGTGGATGGGGAGGTGGGGAGGATATGGGAGGAGTTGGGGGAAGGGAAACTGTGATCAGAATATGTTGTATAAAAATGTTTTTCAATAAAAAATAAATAAAAAGAAAACTTGAAGCAAACTGTTGACACAGATGTGCTAAGTTGAAAGATGAAGTTCTAGATCCTTCTGGCTCTAGGAGCCTTCATCTGGTGCTGTGTGCAATAGGCACAAACAGGAACCATGGTCTCCGCAGCTGCCGTTCAGTGGGGTTCTGGTGTATTGTATTGGGAAGAGGGCATTTCAAACCCTTCCGGGCAGTTCCTTTAGACCCCTGCACTCCGCCTTTGCCCCTGCTGGTCCTGTAGGTCAGATATACATGGGCAGCAACACTTCCTGGCACTTTCTGCTTTGCTTCAGGCACCCAGATTTGGGTTGCGGCTCAGCTTCCAGGGGACTTTCCAGTGGGCTCTGATTCTCAACCCTCCTGCCTCTTCCTGCAGAGACCTACCCTGGCTTAGTAAGTTCATTTCTAGACCTTGTCTCTTGCAGTCTTAGGCACATACTGTGCATTATTTTGACTGTTTTCTTCCACTGAGTTCCAGTGGTGAGGCTTCTAGTCTGCCATTTTATCCAGAAGTCTGTGCCTTACTTTTTGAAGCAGGGTCTCTTCCTGAACCTGGATTGGCTGGCCAGTTATTCTCAAGGACCCTCTCTGTGTCTGCCTCTTCAGCTCTGGGATTACAGGCCAGAATCTCTGTGCACAGTTTTTCATGTGGATGTTGAAGATTCAAACTCAGCTCCCCATGCTGGGGCAACAAGCATTTTACCAACAGGGCATCTCCTTGGACCTGTTCCTCCTTTTACCATGAAGGAGCGAGCATCAACAGGCAAGAGCCTGAGGGCACCACAGATGCTCTGAGGAAGATGGTTAATGGCTGCTGTGTTAGGAGGACAGAATTTCCATAACAGGAACAGATAACAAGGGTACCCATACCACTCAGGAGTACAGAAAAAGACTATTCTCTCTCGCTCTCTCTCTCTCTATCTCTCTCTCTCTCTCTCTCTCTCTCTATCTCCTCTCTCTCTCTCTCTCTCTCTCTCATCTATCTGTCTATCTATCTATCTATCTATCTATCTATCTATCTATCTATCTATCTATCGGTCTCTCTATCATCTCTCTCTCTCCCTCTCTCTCTCTCTCTCTCTCTCTCTCTCTATTTTTCTATCTATCTATCTATCTATCATCACCACAAGGAGGGAAGTAGGCATGTGATAGGGTCACAAGTCCAGGGCTGCTGGGCTGACAGAATCCAAAGTTACCTGATGGGGGAGTATTAGAATAGTTTCACAGTTGCCTCACATTGGCCCAACCTAGCTGGATCCTTATTGTCTCTCACTCTTATGAAATGAAGCAATAAGGGGCCCAGAATTGGAGAAGGGAGCTCCCTGTGGCACAGTCAAGTTGATAAGGGAGTTGACAAATGACCACTGCCACCACTACAACTCTCAGGAACCAGAGAAACATGTCCTTGCTTGGACAGAGACACATCTAGGTCTACCATGCCATCCACAAGGGAGGGTAGTGATTAGTAGTCTTGGATCCCTGGCAGTGGATTTCTCTACGGATGCAGTAAGCCAGATCAAGCCAAATCAAACGTCCATGTTAAATAAGCAAAGCACCCTTGGGTGACTCTCAGGTGCCCCCCAAAAGTGGGGCAGGGGAGGGCGGAGGAGAAGTCACATGGCAGGTCTAGGGACCAGAGCTTAAATACCCTGTAGGCTCAGTCTTGAGCAGCTCAAGTGGAGGAGCTGCTGCTTGGCAGGCTTCCTGCGAAGGGCAGGGTTTGGAATGGTGGGGAGTGAGGCCAAGGGGAGCTTTCAATTGAACAGGTAGAAGCAGGAAATTCACATACTGACTGCCTCCCATCACTGGATGACTGAGGAGGTTTCTTGGTGCTTCAGCTTATAGGATGTGCTGCAACAACTAGAGAAAGACCTCCAAGTAAGGTATGCAGGGGAGGTGGATGGAAGAAAATATGCAGGGACTGTATGCAGTTCCTTGGGATGTATTAGCAAACACATGTGTGCACTACATGGTCTGAAGAATGATCTACTATAGCCCCCCCCATGTGTATGGGTTGTTTTTCTTGCATGTATGTCTGTGCAGCATTTGTATGCCCGGTACCCTCAGAGGCCAAAATAGCGCATCAGATCCCCAGAAACTGGAGTTACAGACAGTTGTGAGAGGTCATGTGGGTGTGCTGGGAGTTGAACCCAGGTCCTCTGAAAAGCAGTCAGTGTGATGAACTACTGAGACATCTCCCCAGCCACCATACTTTCAGTTTTGAATGAGTTTATTGAGTATATAGCGAACCAAAGTAAAAGAGTAAATAGCAAGTGGTGTGTAGATAAATAGATATCAAAATATCATCAAATTGACTGCTCAAAGAATCAGGCAGACACCAATGAGAGAAGTCCCTTTAAGGCAGCCAGCTGCAGTTCCCAGTACACTGAGTCCTGGGAAGAGCAGTGTTCCCCGAGTGAGGCTTCCAAGTAGAGGAACAAATAACAGTAAAAAGACGGCACCACTGAACCAGGAGCTCAGCAGAAACAAACACCCAGCAGAAACTGACAGAGGAAGCTCCTTTAGGGCCCCCAGCTGGAGCTCCCTACTGGGTTTCCAGAAGAGCAAAGTGTCCCCTCAGGCAAGGCTTTCAAAAAAAACAAACAAACAAAAATAAAACAAACAAACAAACAAACAAACAAAACCCCCAAACAACAACAGATAGATAGGCCATCAGAAACTGACTGGGGAAGTAGAGGCAGGCAGCTAGAGTTTCTTACTGAGGGAGCTGTCTCCCTGATGCTGAAGTGCCCTTGGGTGAACTTCTGGCTTCTCTGTCCGCAGCTCTCTCATATCATGGGGTAAACAAGAGAAACACTTATTGTCAGTGCTCACCCTCTATTGTCAGTGCTCACCCTCTATTGTCAGTGCTCACCCTCTATCGTGAGTGCTCACCCTCTATTGTCAGTGCTCACCCTCTATTGTCAGTGCTCACCCTCTATTGTCAATGCTCACCCTCTATCGTCAGTGCTCACCCTCTATCGTCAGTGCTCACCCTCTATTGTCAGTGCTCACCCTCTAT